TCTTGTTAGGCAAGGGGACTGTAATAATTACTTAGTAACTAAATTTATTATAATTTACACAGCAAACCCGTTTAGTGAGATATTAAAAGCAGCAGTGACACTTTGCAACAGTTTTCCAAACAGCAGCAGTCACTCATGAAATATTTGTTGCAGGCCTGAATGGATTTCTCACCTTTTTTCAGTTGTGCATGGCCCATAGCTGAGCATTTAGATATATTTAAAAAAAAAACAAAAAAAAACCTGCTATTCTGGGGGGGGAGAAGGAAGAAGACCACACAATTCATCCCATAGACACCTCTAAAAGGACTAAAGTGGATGTCTCACAGAGTGATGGTTAAAAAAAAAAAAAGTTTGCCACTTTTATTGCCAAAATTTGCTTTGATCACAGAAATGGGAAAATCAGCCCCCAGTTGCATTGAGAATTGCCAACATATAGAAGTGTTAGCTTATGCAGCATCATGGGATTCTGACGTTCAGAACAGCTTGTTACTGACCTCTAGTTACGCCATACATGACACAACGACAACTGTATCCTGGTTCCTAAGGTAGCTTTCCATTTTCTTTTTTCTCACTGTTCTATTTGCCATACACATGGAGGCTTTCAGACAACTTTAACCACTCTCAATCATAAAAAACAACCCTACAGAAAAAAAGCAAACTACTACCAACAGTTTTGATACAAAAAATCAGTGGTAGTCCAGCTTAATATGACCATTCGCTTCTGTAATTAATGGTAAAGCCTGCCTGAAAATTCCCATGCATATAGTCAGAATTAAAATGGTTCTAAAGGCTGAAGGTTTTTTACCTTCATGCATTGTATGCATGAAGGTAAGAAATCTTCAGTGTCCAGCTCCCCCCCTATACTAACCTGATCCCGATCCAGCCATGTGTATGAGAGCAGACATTCACCCAGGTCTCTGCCTCCTCTTTGGTGGAGACATAGCAGTGGGAGCCATTGGCTCCCACTGCTGTCAATCACAAATCGTGAGTAGGGAGTGGGGTCCAGCTGTGCTCTGTGTCTCTTAGACAAACAGAGGTGGCTCAGGAACAAGCACGCACAGGTGCCCACAGAGCAAGCAGCTTGCTCTGGGGGCACTCAGCAAGAGGGAGGGGCCAGGAGCACCAGTAGAGGATCCGAGAAGAGGATTGAGGCTGCTCTGTGCAAAATTATTGCACAGAGCAGGTAAGTATAATGTGTGTGTTTGTTTTTAAATCTGAACCCTTACAATAACGTTAAGGGCAGATATAATGAAAAAGCAACAAAACAAATTGGAGGAATAGGAGAAATATAGAGAAGTTGCCCATACCAATCAGAAGTAATGTTTTATTTACCAATGAAAGATGAAACTCGAAAAAGGTGATTGAGGGCAAATATTCACTTTTTTCCCCAGTTGTTCCTATTCCACACAATTTTCAATCCACACCAGCCTAAGAGATGACCCCACACAGCCTAAGTGCTGCAGCAGATTCAAGCATACATTTTGACAACTAGAAATCTGTTGGGCCATGTATTAAGTTAACTAGAGGGTGATAACAGGCACTGACCAATTAAGAATGACAGAAAAGAAAATAGGATTACCAGAGAAATGCATTACAACTTTTTTTGGAACAACTGGATTATCATCAATGGGCTTTTATTTGTAAGGGTCCTTTCACACCATACAGCACATAAAAAAACAACATATTGAACATGCATGGTGTATCAATCTGCATTTACCATGCATTTTCATACGCACTGCATTAGGTTGTATTTTTTATGCACATTGGCATGTGTTCATGTCATCTATTGTAAGTGACAGGTCCCTGGAAGGGTCAAAATACTAAAAAAAATAATTTTATACCTTTATTTTCAATTGCATTACATGCGCTCCAAGGTGTTGCATTTTAAGGCAACGCACTGCAACACACATGTGCACAACATTATGGTATGAATAATTCATGTATAAAAACATTGGTTTCTATATACCCTTGCAGTGACCTGCGTTGATCCTGTACAAAAAAAAAAAAAAAAAAATGCATCTCACTGCACAGTGTGAAGGAGCCCTTTGAACTGGCTGACAGGAGAACCATCCCCAATAGAACACTAGGAAATCAGTTTCCAACTATACATTTCTAACTGCAATGTTTGCAGTGCAGTTTGAAGTTATCTGACGCTTGTTCTCTGACAATTTTTATAAATAAGGTTACACAATTTTCATTCATTAGTCTTGTATAGTATTGGGGATTGCTCTAAAGTCCACTTCCTTAAAAAAAAAAAAAATCAGAGTAAGAAGCAGGAAAAAAAAAAATTTTGGTGAGGGTGAAAAATACAAGCTCAATCTATGACTTCTTCATTATTTCTCTAAACAGATAGTCATTGCAATATTGCTCCCCCAAAAAATATATATATTTATAAAATAAATAATAAAATTGTAAAGATAATTGCAGTTTGTACATATCTGAAAACTTCAACCTGACATGAAGGGACAATAATAAAGCATTTAGATAACAAGAAATTTGCATGAGCACTCAGAATTGCCTGGCAGTCTACACAGAGCTCCAAAGAGCTATTACAACTGATTTTCAACTTAATATAAAAGCAAGAAAATGATACAAAGCAAAATATGACAACATACAGTACATATAGGTTCGGACAGGCTCTGTGCCACAAATAGTTGCTGCGGCTCTTTGCTACCAGCAGCTCAAGCGCTACGTCCCAACACTCCTTCTGATCAATTCTTTCAAGATTCCTACGTCTGTGAAAAGGGCCCAAAAGCTTCCACAGGAAACCCTTATAAGCCATTAGACATCAAATTCACAACTTTCACCTGAGTAAAGAAGAGAGGGCTTCCAAAAATTTCTGTCTGCAGCTCATAAAACCAAACCTAAATTTGGAAATGTGGCCTTATACTGAGAACTAGGCAGGAGAAAGAACACCAAATCTCAGGGTCCAACTGACATCACTTGCCGCTCTAGCCTATTACCGCCCAACAAGTCTTGGTTCACACAGTTCCTCATATGTGGATCAATCTAACGGCACCGGTCTGAAATACCTGCCTTGCTATTGTCTAGATAATTCTTGTGTATTCCCAGTAAGCCGTATCAGAATATGAGAAATGGGAATTTAAATAGCATTAATTCTGCTCACCAGTGTTTGATTAGCTAAATAGGGAAGGAAATCCACACTGCCCTGGCTGAGGGAGATATCTGTACACAAAAGGTGTTAAAAGCAATATGGGACAAGCCACACAGGAATTTAGATGGGTCCGCATACATTTTAATCCAATCATTTTGATACTCCATTATCTTGCCTGAATATTTTCAAGGTGATCTAATTAAATAAAAAGCATGAAATACGTACGACCATTTTAATGGAAACAATAAAAAAGTGATATTTCTGACAAAATAGAATAAAAATAAAAACAATAAATACAACTGAAAATACTAATTGCATCCACAAAAAGATCTATGCAAACATTGATGCATGCGTGGGCAGCAACAGGCTAGTCATATGCCATTAGATGTTTCATTATTTTCAGTGAAACATCCTAGATCTTGCGCAAGGATGGACTCTTCTCCGACCTGCCATTTGATTGAATTGTATAGTTAGATTTTCAAGCTAGTTTCTTCGCAAAACTGCAAATGTGTACTCACAATCGCATATTATATCAGTAATCTCAATTGGTGTGCAGGCTAGTCACATCCTCAGTGAAATTCATCTAATGTAAGGTGGGTTGCAGAACTGTGTCAATGACACCTGTGTATACATGGTCAATGGGCAGTGCTGGTGTAGTTTCAATCACTCCACAGTGATTAGAAAAACTAGTACACAGTGAAACACATCCACACAGGATGCCTCTATGCAACCAGCCAAAGGAAATAGTACTTTATCATCGTCACAGAGTCAAAATCTTTACCTAAAATAAAATAAAATTGTGGGCAAATAGCCAAGTGCTAAAGTCAGGAAAATGTTGTGAATGGTACATTGTATCCTCACTTTTAACACAAGGAGATCAAAACACAAGCAGGAGCATTTCATTCTGTCAGATTATAAAAAAATTGCATACAGCCAATGTCTGTGCAGTATGAGGGGAAAAAAGGAAAGAAGCAGCAATTTATGATCGTGTAACTGAACTAATAAAACAACTACAATCTAGAGCGACTCTTCAATCACTCCTGATCAGTAATCCCTTTATACGATGCAAAAATGTAGACAACCACTGCAGCTCATGACAAGACAAAATACATGACTTGAGCACTCAGCTTGACGCAAATTTCAGAGACAGAGCAGTAGAAACATAGGTTGCCACAAAGAGCCGACAAATAGTAAAAAATAACTTAACAGGATGTGAATACCATTACAGTGAATCATTCAATATCAAGATCTAATTTCTACAGGTGGGCAAAAAAAGTGATCTAAAGCTAGCACTGCTTTAAATTCCACAAATAACCTCCACCGCAAATTCCCCCAAAGAATTTGAGAACTCTTTAAATCTAACAAAGACCTGCAGCTGGGCTTAAAGCAGTGCAGCTGGATCCCTACAGTGAGGGAAAAAAAGGTTCTCAATATATTTAATAATATGTCCCACTCTTCTAGTAGTGTAAGGAACATCACATTCATACCAAGATTCATCATTGCTTTTCATTCTAACCAAAACTGATACACGTATTAACATTACATTAGTAGTATTTAGACTTCGATAGGACCAACATAGCTATATCCTATAAATAAAAAATACATTTCTTTGATAACTGATTGGAGATGTTAGGACTCTGTAAATTTCAACCAAAATGGCTGTATTCTGTACAGTCCTGTGCAAAATTACTGGAAAAAAAAAAAAAAAAAAAATTAAAAAAAGATATTTTTTGCTATAAGGCTTTGACCCTACAGTTTTCACAGCAATAACTATTGTCCAGCACGGTACCATGTTTTACAAGCCTTCAGTTCAATGACGAATCATCAATCAAATTAAGCATCCTGTCCAGCTGCAGCACCCTTGAGTTTAAATGCCTATAGGCAGTCAGTCGTCTATTGTCATACAAACATCTCCTGATCCGTCCCATCGAGGCTGGGGTTTCTGTCTCTCCCACTGTGAAGGATCATTCTGTTCTCCCCAGCGTGAGGCGTCGTTTTGCTCTGACCATCGAGTATGATCATTCTGATCTTCTCCTTCATCCACCAGGTCATCGTCTGCATCTACTGTCTCTACAGGGTCATTGTCATCATATTCTTCATCTCTAGGGAAGTCATCCGTCACCTGCTCTACACCAGCCTCTTGGAGTCCTGGTTGGGATTTATCCACACAGTCTACGCAAACTCCATAGCGCCGAGATCCATGCCGAATTCCTACACTTGCTGCGAGCATGAAGATCTTTTTACATACCATGCACTTATATTTCTTGTCTTTTTTATGCACCTAGACATGAAGGAGAATAAAGGCAGTCATAAAAATCACAGAATTGTATAATGCATTTTCAAAACCATGTACAGGTCTATTCCATAAACAGTGGATAGAAAGCATGAAACAGATAATCAGATTTCATATACTGCATCAAGATTAGTGGAGGACATCTAGCCTTTTCTTCATGAGGCTTACCATACTTGACCCACCCTTTTTCTTCACCATTTGATTTCAGTTCCATCATGGAGGCTGGACATCGCATGAGGGCATTACCTAGGGCGGTTTGCATGCAAATGCAGCCTGCCTAGGAAAACCCACTCCTCCAGAAAGACATACCAATCAAGACATTTTGATACTTGCTTAACTTCTCCAAAAAACAGCCCATTGAATGCATCAGGACTGCGGGATCTTGAGAGGAATACTGATGAAGCATGCTGTGATACTTTCTGGATGCCATGTACAGCACCCTGCCAGCCCCTCCCACAAGCCATGATCTGCCTGCAATGCATAGAAAAGCCCACAGACCTTGTGATATCACTTGGAGCTAAAATACAGCATGTAATGAAAATAAAAGGTTTTATTTAAAGAAGTTCAGCTTTGAAACATGTTAGTTACATGTTCCACTCATATTTGGGGTGGAATATGTAACATGTTCCAGCTCCTGTACCCTCTCCCCATCCCCCCCATGACAGGGATTCTTCTCCCAAAAACTGTTGTCACTTTTTGACTAAAGCCGTATCATTCACAGATTCCTGTTAATGAATTAACTACAAGTACCATCTGCCACCGCAGCAGATGGACTTGTAGTTTCAATGGGCTGCAGAGGCACTGATGAGCACTCTAGTAGTCCATGGACAGGTCCTCAGACTTGTTTTTCTATAAAAGTGAACTTATCCTTTAAATGAAGGAGGGTAAGAACATGCACTTGTACAAGTAGTTACCTGACTTCCCAGGTCAACTTAAACACGAAATAAGTACATCAACATGCAAGACTGCTCTAAGTGTGTGCTTAAAGACTTCCCCCACATTAAGTCAATTATGGGATGCTCCGATATGTAATAAGAACATTAAAATAGCTGAAAATGGACATGCTTTGTAGCAAATGAAATATCTAGGCTGCCACTGCTGACTATTCTGAAAACACTGGCTGTGTTTAACTTCCATTCTTTCAGAGTCACAGGCTTAAGAAATGCAGAAAGTGACTGCAGAACAGTATGCAAGCTGGTTTCGGGTTGGACTAGAAGAAGTCAGCACTAAAGCAGGCCATAGACGTGGGGAAAATCTGCCGTTTTTTTTTTTTTTTTTTTTTTTTTTTTTAAAGTCGCAATTCGGTCGTTCAGACGGCCAACGTTGCCACTAATTAGAAAGAAAAAAAAAAAAAAAAAAGTCAGCGGGTTTTAGTCCCGTCTACGGCCGTCAATTAATATAAGAGCGGTGTCCCTGCATAGAGACCCGCTATTATATTTTACAGAAGAAAGAGATTATGCAGAAGAAGAGAAACATTGTATCTATTTGTACTTGAATAGAAACATCTGTATCTGAAACGCATACAAATAGATACAATGTTGCAACTTTTTTTCTTCTCTGTCTTCTGCAAAATCTATTTCATCTTCTCTTTTCCTCTGTTCTTCTTGATATTCTATTTCTTCTGCAAAATCTATTTCTTTTATTTCTTCTTTTTCTTCAGAATCAATTTATTGTCAAATTGGCCAGAAGAACGGCCGATTTGACCATAAATTACCGCGAAAATCAGCTGATCCAACAAATCGTCCCAGGATTTTCCAGCTTGGACGATTTTCAAAATCTCTTAAAATTAAGAAAAACGGCCAACATTTTTCCCCACTAACGGTACGAATATCAGACGATTTTTTTTATCGGCTGATAATTCGGCAAGAAGATCGGAAATCTATGGCCACCTTAACAGAGTCCACATTTCTCCCTGTGCAGGCTTTATCCCTTCCCCTTGGCAATCTGTTAAATGTTTTTTTCAGCACGATTTCCAATGTCAGGAATATGTACATAAACATCCCCCTTTAGAAAGCCAGCAGTAGACATTCTGCAAGGCTGCTGACCCTCAACGCCAACAGTCACTGACAGCCAGAGTTATCAATGATGATTAGAAATCAGAATAAATTACCAATCATATAAATCACATGTGTGCATCAGTGTTCTTGATAACTGCTGACCTGGGAATTTGGGCATCAATGATTGCTGGTCACAAAAGGGTAAAAACACAATAAACACCATAAAATATGCAATCTTCAGCTAGGGAAGGCTCTCTAAATTGCCCATATGTGGACTGAAATTTTGCCGGCTCATCAGGAACCCATCAAATTTTGATCGATTTATGGCTGTTTTCACTCGACAGAAGTCAATCTAATGATCGATTTCTGTCAATTGGGACTGTTGGAAAATGTTTGCCAATCAGTGGCTTGCAGTGACTTGGCTGCAGCTCTTGATCAGTGTATTTTGACTGTAGAGAAATCCCGCTATCAGAATACAATGGTATGAAAAAAATCCCATAAAAAGGAACCATCTATGGCCAGCCTTAGTTTCACTCTCACATTATCCAGTTCATGACCACCCTATAGCAGATTTACTGCTACAGGGTGGCTGATCTGTGCAAAAAGCACATATATATACACAAGCGATTCTGCACTTCCTGGTTGACGGGGTGCATGCATGCTCCTGGCATGCCGTTTCTGCTGTGATTAGTCATAGCAGAAGCCAGTCAGCATGGGGTTTATTTACAGTTAGGTCCATAAATATTGGGACATCGACACAATTCTAACATTTTTGGCTCTATACACCACCACAATGGATTTGAAATAAAACAAACAAGATGTGCTTTAACTGCAGACTGTCAGCTTTAATTTGAGGGTATTTACATCCAAATCAGGTGAACGGTGTAGGAATTACAACAGTTTTCATATGTGTCTCCCACTTGTTAAGGGACCAAAAGTAATGAGACAATTGGCTTCTCAGCTGTTCCATGGCCAGGTGTGTGTTATTTCATCCATTATCCCATTTACAATCAGCAGATAAAACATCCAGAGTTCATTTCAAGTGTGCTATTTGCATTTGGAATCTGTTGCTGTCAACTCTCAAGATGAGATCCAAAGAGCTGTCACTATCAGTGAAGCAAGCCATCATTAGGCTGAAAAAACAAAAACAAACCCATCAGAGAGATAGCAAAAACATTAGGCGTGGCCAAAACAACTGTTTGGAACATTCTTAAAAAGAAGGAACGCACCGGTGAGCTCAGCAACACCAAAAGACCCGGAAGACCACGGAAAACAACTGTGGTGCATGACCGAAGAATTCTTTCCCTGGTGAAGAAAACACCCTTCACAACAGTTGGCCAGATCAAGATCACTCTCCAGGAGGTAGGTGTATGTGTGTCAAAGTCAACAATCAAGAAGACTTCACCAGAGTGAATACAGAGGGTTCACCACAAGATGGAAACAATTGGTGAGCCTCAAAAACAGGAAGGCCAGATTAGAGTTTGCCAAACGACATCTAAAAAAGCCTTCACAGTTCTGGAACAACATCCTATGGACAGATGAGACCAAGATCAACTTGTACCAGAGTGATGGGAAGAGAAGAGTATGGAGAAGGAAAGGAACTGCTCATGATCCTAAGCATACCACCTCATCAGTGAAGCATGGTGGTGGTAGTGTCATGGCGTGGGCATGTATGGCTGCCAATGGAACTGGTTCTCTTGTATTTATTGATGATGTGACTGCTGACAAAAGCAGCAGGATGAATTCTGAAGTGTTTCAGGCAATATTATCTGCTCATATTCAGCCAAATGCTTCAGAACTCATTGGACGCCGCTTCACAGTGCAGATGGACAATACCCAAAGCATACTGCAAAAGCAACCAAACAGTTTAAGGGAAAGAAGTGGAATGTTCTGCAATGGCCAAGTCAATCACCTGACCTGAATCCGATTGAGCATGCATTTCTCTTGCTGAAGACAAAACTGAAGGGAAAATGCCCCAAGAACAAGCAGGAACTGAAGACAGTTGCAGTAGAGGCCTGGCAGAGCATCACCAAGGATGAAACCCAGCGTCTGGTGATGTCTATGCATTCCAGATTTCAGGCTGTAATTGACTGCAAAGGATTTGCAACCAAGTATTAAAAAGTGAAAGTTTGATTTATGATTATTATTCTGTCCCATTACTTTTGGTCCCTTAACAAGTGGGAGGCACATATGCAAACTGTTGTAATTCCTACACCGTTCACCTGATTTGGATGTAAATACCCTCAAATTAAAGCTGACAGTCTGTAGTTAAAGCACATCTTGTTCGTTTCATTTCAAATCCATGGTGGTGGTGTATAGAACCAGAAATGTTAGAATTGTGTCGATGTCCCAATATTTATGGACCTGACTGTACTAAAGCTGGAGAGTCCAAAATTAGACTCACTTCTGCATAGAAACCAATCAGCTTCCAGGTTTCATTGCCAAAGCTTCATTGAACAAGCTGAGGTCAGAAGCTGATTGGTTTCTATGCAGAAGGGAGTCTGATTTTGGACTCTCCAGCTTTAGTAAATAAACCCCCATGTGTCAGCCAATGGATGACTGCTGGCATGCGCTTATCGGTGAGGAGACAGGACACAGCTCTGCCTATGTAAACAAGGCAGAACTGTGTCCCATCAGCGGCAATGAGCTGGATTTTGTTTCCCCACAAAGCAGAGAATAAAATCCAGTACATTCCCTAGTAAAAACACATAAATTAAACAAAACCACTGGTTAGGTATACCATTAACCCTTTGATTGCCCTAGATGTTTAAAGTAGTAAAACGCACCTTAAAAAAAATAAAATAAAAATAAAAATCCGCTGCATGGTAATGTCATAATGTGCTAGTATGCATCACATACTAGCACATTATGAAGGACTTACATTGCAAACGAAGACCTCCAGTGGCACGCTGTAGAGGTGGTTAATGTCATTATGCACTATTTTTCAGCCAATAACAGAATATGGCTTACTCTATGTAAGAAATACAGTTGTGTTCAAAATAATAGTGTGTTGAAAAAAAGCGAATAAAGCTCAAAATCCTTCTAATAGCTTTTATTTCTATACGCACAAATGCATTGGGAACACTACACATTCTATTCCAAATCAAAACATGAAGAAAAAATATCAAATTTGTGTTGTTCCTCTAAAAAAAAACTGAAGAAAAGTGAATATTAGACTGTTCAAAAATAGCAGTGTTTGTATTCTTCTTTACAAACTCAAACATGCACTATATAAACTGAAAAATGTTGGAAGATTTTGCTTTCCTTTGAATGACTTAATGAATATTTAGTTGTAGTCGCACTGTTTCTGAGAACTGCTGTACATCTGTGTTGCATGGAGTCAACCAACTTCTGGCATCTGTGAACAGGTATTCCAGCCCAGGATGATTGGACTACATTCCACAGTTCTTCTCTATTTCTTGGTTTTGCCTCAGAAACTGCATTTTTGATGTCACCCCACAAGTTTTCTATTGGATTAAGATCCGGGGATTGGGCTGGCCACTCCATAACGTCAATCTTGTTGGTCCGGAACTAAGATGTTCCACGTTTACTGGTGTGTTTGGGGTTGTTGTCTTGTTGGAACACCCATTTCAAGGGCATTTCCTCTTCAGCATAAGGCAGCATGACCTCTTCAAGTATTCTGATGTATTCAAACTGATCCATGATCCCTGGTATGCGATAAATAGGCCCAACACCGTAGTATGAGAAACATCCCCATATCATGATGCTTGCACAACCATGCTTCACTGTCTTCACAGTGTACTGTGGCTTGAATTCAGTGTTTGGGGGTCGTCTGACAAACTGTCTCCGGCCACTAGACCCAAAAAGAACAATCTTACTTTCATCAGTCCACAAAATGTTGCGCCATTTCTCTTTAGGCCAGTCAATGTGCTCTTTGGCAAATTGTAACCTCTTCAGCACATGTCTTTTTTTCAACAGTGGGACTTTGCGGGGTCTTCTTGCAGATAGCTTGGCTTCACATAGGCGTCTTCTAATTGTAACAGTACTCACAGGTAACTTTAGACCTTCTTTGATCTTCCTGGAGCTGATTGTTGGCTGAGTCCTTGCCACTTTGGCTATTCTTCTATCCATTCGAATGGTAGTTTTTCGCTTTCTTCCACGTCTTTCAGGTTTTGGTTGCCATTTTAAAGCATTTGCGATCATTTTAGCTGAGCACCCTATCATTTTCTGCACTTCTTTATATGTTTTCCCCTCTCCAATCAACTTTTTAATCAAGGTACGCTGTTCTTCTGAACAATGTCTGGAACGACCCATTTTCCTCAGAACTTCTGAGAGAAATGCACACTAACCAGCATGTACAACATTTGCTGCCTTCCTTCCTTAAATAAGGGCAATAATTGCCACCTGTTTTTCAAAGAATTAATGACCTCACTAATAGAACTCCACACTGCTATTATTTTGAACATGCCCCTTTCAATTAGTGATTCAATTACACAGAATCAGCAGCATGCATGTCATGACTGTTGGGTCTGTTGGATTTCTATTACTCTGCTACACCTGCTAGTAAATTATTTGCCATGTAGAAATATCATTTCTACCAAAAACAGTGACTGATCAGGTTAGTGATGTCTGACTGCTATTATTTTGAACACAACTGTACATACCTCTAAAAACAGACCACACACTCAGTGCTTAGAAACTACCCTAAACCAAAAGTGTTTGGGGTTTTTTTTTTTTTTTTTTTTTAAACACGCTGGCTGAAATGGTGTTCTAGACAAGTCATGTGTGTCAAGAAGATTGGTGTAAAGCAAAGGAAGCTGCAAAAGGAAAACGGTTTCCGACTGCAATGCTTCCCAGAAACAAATGAGAAGTTGGGAGATCTGAACTGACCAATATGCTGGTGTGCTCTTCAAATAATAACTTACGCTCAAGAACAATCAGTTTTATACAGCGCTATATAATTCGCCTTGAGAAATAAAAAACTTACCAAGGAATGTCTCTTGACGTGCTCTCTTCTAGTAAACAGCTTTCCACAGATGTCACAGCTAAAAGATCTCACTCCTGTGTGAATGAGTAAGTGTCTTTTAAGTGTTCTTCTGTATTTTGCAACATAGTTGCAGTGAGGACATTTTAATTTATTCATGTTCAGTAGCCCAGTGGATGCGTCTCCTAAAAAAAAAAAAAAATAAATAAAAATTTGTAGACAAGAATGAACTGCTGACAAGTGGAATCTGTAGGTTTAGAAATCAGTTCACTGCAATGGAAGAAGGATCACTCTCATACCCTTAAAAGCTACAGTAATACCTCGGTTTATTAATTTAATTTGCTCTGCAGGACTTTTCATATAGCAAAAAATTTGTAAACCAAAACGCCGTTTCCCATAGGAGTGTATTGAAAACCAATTAATCAGTTCAGAAGGTCAGAAAAAAAGTAAAACACTACTAAAATACCACATGAGTTATTTTATCAAGTCATGCGGTATTTTAGTAGTGACAACCATGTGTTAATGTTTCAGCTGTCAGCTGAATTAAAGAATTGCTAGCAATTAAAAAAACGGCGTGGGGTCCCCCCTCCGAACCACACCAAGCCAAAATTAAACAACAAAAAAAAAAAAAACAAAACCCCGCTCGTTTCCCCCCCCCCCCCCCCGACTTGCTGGGCTACATGCTTGGATAAGGATCCAGTATGGAGTTTGAGGGGGACCCCCACGCCATTTTTTTTTTAAATTTTGGCATGGGAGCTCCCCTCAAAATCCATACCAGACCCGAATGGCTTGGTATGGATGGGAGGAGGGGACCCCACGCAGTTTATAAATTTATTATGGTGCCGGTTTTTAAATGTAATTAACATTTTTTTTCCCTTCACTATAGCTCAGAAATTCAGCTGTCACTTTCCCCCATCTAAAAGAAAGAAAGTGTTCTTTTAGTTTATTTCCCCCAGTTAAGAGAAACAATGTTTCCTTTTAGTTTATTAAAAGAAACAAAGCTTCCATTAACTCTGGGGAAAGTGACAGCTAATTCTGTGAGCTATAGTGAAGGAAAAAAAAAAAAAAAAAAGAAAAAAGCCGGCAATTGCGTTTAAAAATTGGCACCGACATACTTCGTACTGCGAAAAAAAAAATTTGTAAAAAAAAAAAAAAAAATCGTAAACTGAGGCATTATTTTCAATGGATTTGCATTCGTAAACCGAAAATTTCATTAAGCAAGGCATTTGTAAACTGAGGTATTACTGTATTCTCATACAAGACTAATTCATTTTAAGAAAAACTAAAAACTATATTTTAAAGCAGAATTCCATATTTAAATGTTACTTTAAAAATGGTTAGTCCCACCTTTACTAAAAAGAAAAAAAACCCAAAAAAAACCCGCTCCCATATGATCCATCCCACTATAGAAAGACAGAGGTGCAGTAATGGTCTAACAATCAGGTTAAAATTTTATCACAACTCACATGTTAAAAGTGCTTAATATCTTGCATGTCCAAAACTGTCTGCTTACGGTGCTCACAGGGCTGGAGGAGAGGTATAGGCGGTCTGCCCTCAAGCCGACATCACTGCTGCCCTATACCCACAGGGGTCTCGGAACTTCCTACCTCTCCTCCAGCCCAACGGAAAAAAAAAAAAAAAACAGGACTAGTGGGTTTATAGGAGTTTTTTTTTTGCTGTAAAAAGCTGTACTGCTGAAAAACGCAGTAAAACGCTGTAAGATGCTGCAAACCAGCATTTTTTGGACGTTATTTGGGGAAAAAAAAAAAAGTAAAAAAACGCCACTAAATACCAATGCAAAACCGCCTATTCAGTTTGTATGGGCTGAAATTGCTCTGCAAAGGTGTCGGTACTCGGTATTGGTGAGTACTTGTCCGAAAGTAAAAAACCGGTATTGGTGCAAACCTAATTTACAGCTATACATTGTGCATGGTCCACAGATAACAATTTGAAGGTATAACTTGCATGCATTGCCCAATAGCCTGCACAAACAACGCATCAGAAAGTACTTTTGGAAAACATTAAATTTTAATATTTACATTGCATATAAACCTAAAAGCAAAAAATGTAATATTTTGCAGATTACCATCACCTAGTAAGAATCTAGGTACAAAGATATCCAGTAGATATTGCCAGTTCCCTTGAATCTCCCTGTGCAATACACTGCGAACTCAATGCCATTGCTTACCAGTTCTCTTCTATAAACTATAGAACACCTCCCCCACCCTAATGTTATGGAGAGAAGGATAGGTGTTTTGTAGTCCAAACCAGGCTAGAGTGACTACACTCAATTCAATACATACACTAAAAAATGCAAGCATCGTTACACTAGGGTTAGAAGTGTGTTGCTGATAGGTTCCCAAGGTTAGAAAGCATAAAATCCAGAAATAAAATCTAATGCAACCACCACATCTAAAGACTGTCAAACTGTCAAGCTGCTATAAATTACATTTTTGTTCTGACACTTAAATGTTAACATTGCTACATGACATTCTCCTGCCACAAATAAAGAAACATAAGACAAATGAGGCTACATTCACACTGCACTGCCAGTGCAAATTGTAGCGGCAGGAATTTTCTGATTCCTGGCTCTGAGCATTTAGGTGCTGCTGCCAGCCCTATTCACTATAATGACAGGTCGCTGACGGATGCAGCTATTCACAGCTCTCTGCATAGCCAGTGATTACCTGCGGTAATAGCTGCTGGATGCACTTTGTGTGCCAAACAGTAGACACCAGTGGCTGGAAAGTGTATTCCAGGCGCATGGCCTTGGTGCCTGTTAACCAATTTTTACAGCAGAAATGAGACAAAGTTAGCTTACCATTCTCCCAAGTTTCTCTCGGCCATGGCTCTGGAAACATGCCAAATTTGAACTCTTTTGAGGTTCCTGAAAATACACAATACATACAGAATTTAAAAATATATATTTTGTAGTGTGTGTGTGTGTGTGTTTAAGGCAAGGTGGTCAGCAATGGACCACAAAAAAAACAGCATTGCCTATTTGCAGTACAGAATTGCCCAACTATGCTGCCAGGCAGGTTGTAAATGCATATGGACATTTGAAGGTGCAAGGGAGCTCTACAGCAGATGTATGGGAGAGATTTCAGCTGTCACAGGATTTGTATGTATACTTATCCATTCATGATATATAAAGATATATATGCATGCAAAAGTCTGCAGGTGCAAGGGAGCTCTCGAGTGCAATTCCCTGTCTTTCTGTGCCCAGGGAGCCATATGTGACCTAAATGGCCAACCACAGAAATGAATGGCTGTACACGAATGCACTCTTATAAAACCCAATGCTCTTTTGCATGGCCGTTTTCCTATGCATGCGCACGTGGCATATTTCCTGAATACAGAAGTTTCACATTCAGGGAAGTACATCATACTTGCATGTGCAAGTAAAAAACTGATGCAAAGGGGCATTGGCATTTACAAAAGTACAAGTACATACAGTGCATCCCGAAAGTATTCACAGCGCTTAGCCACATTTTGTTGTTACAGCCTTATTCCAAAATGGATTAAATTAATTTCAAATAGAGGACAACTGGATACCTATTCAAATAGTTGTCCACAGCTACTTATTTCTATGGTTGGTCGTATACGCCACCTGCGGCTCCTCAGGTGCAGGAAAATGCTGGGAATTTCTGCTTGCACCTGCAAATGCCTTTGTGCATGTACACTAATCTCAAGACTGGATAAACGCAAATATAGCATTCTGTGGAAGGTAAAATAGCTCCTGTACATCTACTTTTTCAACAGTTTTCTGGACTACCAAACAAGCCCTACTTTGTAAGTACAGCAATTATCCAGTATGGCACCCATCCATAGTTCTAATATAACCATAGTGAGACCAATCAAGGTCTTTGTAGAATCTCCGGATGGATTTGCCCTGGCCAATGTTAAGAATGTAGGAGCATCGCTTAAGATGTACTGAATTTGCTCAACTCATGCTGGCACTTGTGGAGTTTTTTGGTAACCTTACCACGATGTCCATTCTACAGAAACATCTAAACCAGGGCTCAAAATTTCAAGTCCTGAACTACTAGCCAGGCCTTAAGAGTTACTCACTACCAGTTGCCCTACTCAACACCTACCCTGCCCCTAATCAAGTCCTCATAACTTATATCATGAATTTACACTGTTAAAATGTTCCCCGCATTACATCAGGGTCCCAAGAGTCCTGCCAAATTACATCAGCATCTCCAGATTTCCCCTGCATTACATCAGGCTCCCCAATGTCCCCCCTATACACTAAATCATACTTGGACCATACAAACATAACACCCCCATAATCTCTCTCACCAAACCATAACGCTACCAAGCATATCCTACCTTCTATCCAACACAGAAGTACCTCACATGCCCCATACTCTTCCACCCATAACCACCACCTAATCCTGAACCTGTCCAAACCACCCATATATGTATGCTTACACACGCATCCTCACATACAAACCCACCCTCAATCACCCATGCAAAAAACATGCACATAACCCCACCAGTTACAAAACACACACACACACAAAACATGCACAACACACATACACACACAAACCACAACATAGCCGCCTACAAATCAGCCATCACCAAACTTGCAAAGTCACAACAGCCCATTCATGAATTAATAACTTGCCAGCCAACCTTGTCGACTTGCATTCATAGCCTTAGTCCCATACCCACAACTAAGAGACACCAAGAGCAAACAAACCAAACAGTGTGTTCTAGTTTCCAAGTGGCACAAGAGACTACTGCCACTGCCTCCATAGACACTGCCCTCGGGAACCAGAGAGTGATATCACGGCCAGCAACTGTGCACGCGCCGCCATGCCGGTACCTGGACAAAGCCAATGAGCATGGCTGTACCGGGAATCAATGAGAGGCAGAGATTGCAGTAACAGCCCTGTGGGACACACTCGCCCCACGTTATTTCTACTCAACAAATGAAAGCAGGTGAGTGGGAATTTTGAGGCCTGATCTAAGCTTTAAATATAACTTTCTAGAAGTCACACTTATTTAACCACTTGCCACCCAGAGGATATACCCCCCTTCCTGACCAGGCCATTGTTTGCGATATGGTTCTGCGCTACTTTAACTGACAACTGCGTGGTAATGCAATGCTGTACATAAATTAAATTTATGTCCTTCCCCCCCCTCTCAAATAGAACTTTGCACTATAAACAAAAAAAGTCTGACAATTTTGAACAAAAAAAAAAAAAAAAAAAAGACACCACACGATATTTTACTTTTTGCTATAAAATATATCCAGTAAAAAATTTTTACAAATCTAATTTTGTCACATAATGTAAGCCAAAATGTATTCTGCTACATGTCTTTGCTAAGAAAAAAATCCCAATACATGTAAATTAATTGATTTACATGAAAGTTATAGCGTCTACAAATTGAGATATATGCTGGAATTTTTTTTTCCTTCATATATTAGTAATGGCAGCAATCAGCGACTTATAGCGGGACTGCGGCAGGTATTCTGACACTGGGGGGTTATTAACTGCCATGGACATCCCAATGACACCAATACTGTGATCAGTGCGAATAAAAAGCACTGACACTGTACTAATGACACTGGGCAGGAAGGGGTTAACATCTGGGGCAATAAAAGCATTAACTGTGTGCGCTGTGTGTTTTTTACTAGGAAAACATGCTCCAGTGTATTTCTATGCTTTGCAAAGAAATACACGGCAGAATGTTACTGCTGGCAGGAGAGACCGGTGGTGTTTACACACAGGTATCTCCGGTCACGGTTTCTTGGCAATCATCGGGTGCCGGCGGGTAATCTCTGGTCGGGACCCGGTGATCGACATCTGTAGCCGCCAATGGCGGAAATGCAAATCATGTATGTATACACACACACACACACACACACACACACACACACACACACACACACACACACAAAAACACATGTGATTTTGCACAACCCTACTGCCCTGTAGCAGTATTTCTGCTATAGGGCAGCGGAGAAGCAGTTAAACAGTTTATTTTTAAGCAATTCCAATTTTGATTATTTTCCCTATTACAAATGACACGTCACAACAGAAAATCTGAAGAATTTGCCATGGTACTGGGATCAAAAACAGCAGCAATAATTAGACTGCCTTATGCAAACACATTTTCGTGTTTTTTTTTCCTTTAAATGGGGTCTCCAGTTTTTAGTCTGAAGTTTAGGAATACCTTCCATTTAGATATTCAGTTCAACTCACTATCAGCAATATCCTTTTTGAGCTATTTAACAAATCTACAGAAGTAAACAAATAGATGTGTTACTTTAACACCTTCCTGCCCAGCCTATAGCAGACGGATGACCAGGCAGGACGTTCCATCTCCTGAGTGGGCATCATATGATTATGACTGTTAGAAGGTGCTGCTTACATGGCAGGGGGGGGGGGGGGGGGGGGTCATGCAGTGGCGTGATTTGTCACAGATGACAAATCACTACAAAGGCCTGTTGCCAGTGTCTTGTGACCAATCACAGCAGATCACATGACAATTGCATAAAATGGATGGCTTCCTTTAATGCCATCCATTGTATACAATTGAGTTAGCTGTGATTGGTCAAAGCAGTCACCTAGTAAGAAAAAAAAAAAATCCTGATCACTTGCCCAGAGTAGTTCAGTGTTACTATGGTAACACTGTAATGCTCTGGTCACAGTGTGTTGGGGGAAAAAAAAAAAAAGAAAAAAAAAAAAAAAAGTAAAACAAAAATTTGTATATATACCATCCCGGCATTTTTTGGGCCTCAAGAAATGGGATTGGCCGTCAATTGATCGATTGTCAGATATATATATACACAATGGTTTGTGGACTCTAACCTTCCTATAGACTAAATAATATACACTAATTTGGGGTATTTTCACCAAAGAAATGTAACAGAATACATTTTAATCTAAATTTATGATGAAAGGTTATTTGCAAAATTTTATAACAAACGAACAATAACTTTTTTCCCCAAAAGTTTTGGGTTTTTGTTTATTTAGTAAAAAATAAACTCAGTGATGATTAAATACAACCAAAAGAAACCTCTGTGTGAAAAAAAAATGCTACAAAATTACTTATGGGTACAGCGATGCATGACCGTACAAATGTCAAAGTGAGACAACACTGAAAGCTGAAAATGGTCTTGGGCAAGAAGGAGGTAAAAGTGTCTGGTATTGAAGTTGTTAAAGATGGTTATAAACAAGGCAATTTCAACCACTTCTCTACCACCAGGAATTGCAAATACAATCACCGCCAGAATGTTTTACTTGTAAAGTCAAAAGTGGGCAATTGACAGTTTCAGTGCAGTTAAGAAAACTGACACTAAAGGATATTCTTATTCCCAAAATATAATCCACACACATCTACTTACCAAGGGCTCTGTAATCAATTTTTTGCTGAAATACTGTTTTTCTACCTTTCAACCTTTCTCAAGTAAGCTCCCGACCCTCTCCTTTTCCTGCTCACTTCCATTTGTCTGGAACAAGCGAAGCACACTAGTTGTGGTCATGTACACTGCTCTATGCACATACATACCACATAGACCCTAGTCTCTATTGGGAGCGATCAGAGCACTTTTGATCTGCTTGTGGTTGATCAAAAAGCCACAACTGCACAATGCCCATGACTGCTTTGAGATTTTGGCAAAAAAAAAACAAAACCCCCAAAGCTTGATCACTGCACAAACTTGCCATGTGTATTTGTGTTAAGGGTGCGGAAGGGAAGAGGGTAAATATGCCCAATATTTGGTGGATTTGTCATGCTAACCCTGCTGGGGAACCATTTTTAAATTTTGCTACAAAATCATAGGTTCTGACTGGCTAGGGACTCCAGACATGGCCTTGCCATCTAACACCTAGGGTCTGTTACAGCTGCATTCTTTACTTTCTTCTA